CTCGGTGCGTAGAACATGTGAAACATCTTTTCTCACTTTCGTCTCGACCACTGCTGTGAAGCGGGGCGGTCTGCGAGCGAATTGAAGCGAGTAACCGTGTTTTATTATGTTCAAAACCCATTTCGGCATGTCGGGGACATTTTCCCAAGCTTTCGCTCGCACAGATATGGGCTGAATGCTGGCTGGGGGCGTGTCGCAGTGACGTATGGCTCCCGCCAGCGAATCGCTCTGTGCTAATGTCGAGCTTACAGCTCTCAGCGGCGCGGGCGCGCGCTGAACAGCTTTGTTGAATGCCGAGTGCAGGGGTGCGTGTGAGATTACAGGCACGCTCGCCGTAATACTCACAGAGTGAGATGGGGAAATGTTTAACACTGTATGGGCAGTGCTTATGGGTGGGGGTGCATGAACTGTGGTAGGCACGCGCGCCACTTTCATAAAACTTCCCGCTCGTGGCGGGAGGTTTTTGGTCATATAAACAGTGTTTGTGAGTTGGGGTGCGTGCATAACAGCGGGCACACGCGCCACTCTTATAAAACTTCCCGCTTTTACTGGGGAAGTGTTTATAACTGTGGGAACAGTGCTTATGTGTAGTGGTGCATACGTGACAGTTGGCACACAATCTACTTTTATGGGGCGTCCAGCTTGAACTGGGAAAACATTTGGCACTGCGTTGACAGTTTTGATATGTGGGAATGCACACTTTGGTGTGGACACGTGACCCTTTAATGACACAGGCAGAAAATTGCTCTTTATGTGATTTCTGTGTGTCGCCCTAAAAACGGCGTTTGTTTGCAGGTGGGCGAGCTGTGTGGCTGGCACATTGGCTGCTGTATAGACATTTCCAGCCGCCTGTAAGGGGACTGGGGTAATGCTTTAAACGTTTTGGAGAGAACGGTCCGGCTCTTGCGAGACACGCGCTCCCCCTTTTTCTCCCTGTAGCTAGGAGGACTTACGAGGCTCTGGGTTCAGCACAATCTTGGACCGAGGTCCCCGTCGCTCGGGCGGTTGCTTCCTGTTGGCAGAGCGCGAGCGGCGTCGAAAATCCGTTTCAGGTCTGGGCTGAGAGACGGGAGGCGCCGTCTTAGCTCGCTGCTGCTGAGGCGGCCTTTGGCGGCTCTGCGATGAGCTAGATCGCTTGGGCAGGAAATGACGCATAGCCTGCGAGTCCTTACGGGCTTCGGTGAAGCGCTCGGCGAACTCCTTCACCGCTGGTCCAAACAGGCCGCTTTGTGAGATAGGCGCGTCGAGAAATGGCGCCTTATCTGCATCCTTCATCTCTGTTAGCGTCAGCCACAGATGGCGCTCAAGGACAGTCAGGTTAGCCATAGCACGGCCGATGGATTGGGCGGTGGCTTTTGTAGCTCGCAGCGCTACGTCAGTGGCGCTGCGTAGGTCCTTAAATGCCTCAGGATCGGGTCCAGACTCGTCCATACTGCGGAGAAGTTTAGCTTGAAACACCTGGAGGACAGCCATAGAGTGAAGCGCTGATGCAGCTTGGCCGGCGGCGGCGTATGCGCGACCAGCGAGAGCTGACGTAGACCGGCAAGGCTTCGAGGGATGAGAAGCTTTAGCTTTCCATCCAGCGTTGGAGGGTGGACACAGATGATTGGCCACAGCCTCCTCGAGGGGCGGAGTCCCCTCATAGCCTCTTTCTTTCGCGCCGTCCACAGAGGAGAGCGACAAAGAAAAAGAAGGCTTCAGGCGAGCGGAGTGCGGGGCTTTCCACGACTTCGTGAGTTCGTCGTGAACTTCCGGGAAGAAGGGGGAGGGCCTTTGCCGAGGGGCCTGTCGGCGCCCCTGCAGGAACCACTCGTCCAGTCGGCTGCGGGCGGGTTCTTCCGGGGAAGACCAATCGAGCCCGAGGTCTTCCACGGCCTTAGACAGGATACGGACGATCTCCGAGTCCATGATGGAGCCCGCGCTCGTGCCCGCTAATGTCGATGGCGCGGGGTCGAACGACGAACCCGGCCAGTCGTCGGATGCAGCGTCACCGGAAAAACTGTCATCCTTGTCATCGTCATCCCCTGACGCGCCAAACGAGACTAGCCCCATCGCTCCGCTGGAGGGGTGCTGGTCCGCCTGTGTGAACTGGACTGGCGGCGGGGAGTCTTCGGGTGGTGGTGAAGCACGCGGGGATTGGCCCGGCGTGACATCACTGCACTGCACTCCGGCGGCCTCTGTGAGCGGCGCTTTTTCTTGCGCGGCTCGACTAGAGGAGATGGCAGCACAGAAGAGGTGGGCTCTTTCGCGGTGAAAACGGCGAAGCGAGCGCGCAGCTCGGTGAGGCCCAGGGCGTCACACTCGGGACATCCGCCTCGAGTAAGGGCAGCCTCTGCGTGGTCCGGTCCCAGGCAGCGGGCGCAAATGATGTGACGATCCCCGTCCTGAAGAGGGCCTCGACACGAGGCGCAGGAAGGCATTTGAAACAACGCCTTGTTAAATTTGCTATTTTAGAAAGTGTCGCAAGGGGCCAACACTGAAAGCTTTTGAAAGGATATTAGATGATGCGCGCCGGATGGCTTAGCAGAAGGGCGATCGAAGGCGGCTGAAGGCGCCGGCGTCCTCGAAGCAGTCCTGCTGTAGGCTTGTCGACGGCGGCGGCGAAAAGACTCCAACAAATCCGGAGGATCCAGCGAAGAGAAGGTTCTTTGCTGAAGGAGATTAAATCTGAAGAACTCAGACGACGGGGCGCCCAATATATAGCCCTTGGCCACGCCCATCTTGGCGGGCTCTGACGCGCGTGGGCGCGAAGCACGCTCATTGGAAGCGGGTTCAGAGTCGCCCCGTCATAGGTTCGTGCAGTTGCCGCTGAACAGCCAATGACCGAGCTGCCTCGCTCATTGCTGTATGCTGTGCAGCTGCAATGCGTTTTACATAAAGACTTCAATATTTCTCGAGAAAAGGAGTTTTCCCATAGCGTAAGCTACTTACGCAATAAGAGGAACCTCTCGAAAGGGAACCGCTGTACATGTGCGTTCGGTAGTACGCGCATGCGCAGTATCAGCTGCTCGTGCTCATCACTTCTCTCAAAAACAACACGTTTCAAACTGTTGGATTTACTGGAGTGAAATATACTCCGGGATATTGGTTTATTTCGAGTCAGAGGGACTGTCAGGCATGACTAAAGTGAGTAACTTTAGTTACTTGTGTATCAGCACTGACGCAAGGCGCGAACTGTTTCGAACGATTCAGTCCGATTTAGTGTACTGGTTCGACCGGTTCACTAAAAAGAACCGGTTCAAAAGAACGATTCGTTCACGAACCGGCCATCACTAATAGGATGGAGGACGGAGGATCGAGGAAGCACCCGGGGACTAGCACATGACAGTGACAGAGGCGATGAAAATGACAGTGACGAAGACAACTAGGTGGTGGTGACTGTGACAGCTACATTGTTTGAGTAAAATTTCAACAACTATAACACCACAACTATAACCACAATTACATGGAGAAAATATAGATGTGATCACTTTTTCCCATCTGATGAATATAGAAAACACTGGCAGCCAATCAAAATCCTTCTGACTCTATAGTGAGCGCTGCTATGGCCTTGTCCCAAATAACACACTGCATGTGCACTTGTGGGTTTGTGGACGATGGCTGCTGGAAGTCCACTTTCCTGCAGAGTTTAGCTCCAACCCTTATAAACTCTCCTGCCTGTAACTTATGCTGCGTTCTTCACACCATGTCATAATTAACATCATTTCGAGATGAGAACACGTGACGTTCTACTCAGAGCTGTTCATGTCCTCAGACTCGGAATTATGCGTTTCTATGACAACACTGTCAAAGTTTAAATTAATCTGCAGTGGTCACATATACAAATCGAAGCGTTCAGAGTTATCAAGTTGTAATTACGAGTTCTACGATGACGTGATGTTTTTCACAAGTTGGAATCTCTTATTACAGTAATTATGACATGGTGTGAACGTATGTAGCAATCCTGAAGATTGATTATCTTGTTCAAGTGTGTTTGATAAGGGTTGGAGCTAAACTATGCAGGAAAGTAAACCCTGCCAAAGGGTGTCATTTCTACTCTCTCTTTCAAAGACATTTTGACACTGCTGATGTTATTTCCTTCCTCTTTTCTAAAATATATTTTTGATAAATGAAGTCAGTTGTCATCTTTAGTCAAAATAAGGCACAGAAGGGATCAGGAAGGCTGTGTGTTGATTTGTCTCCCATAAACTGGAAATATGGGATCAAGTTAAGAGAAAAAGTTTCTTTAACTGCAGCAGAAGACACTTTACTGAAATACTCTACTGAACTCTACTGAAGGCACAGGGTTAAGGGAAGACGGGCTGTTGTTACATGATGCTAAGAATAGCTACATATTTCTGGCACAATGCAAAGACTCAGAAATCAACAGGGGTGCCATTTTAAGACTCTACAAGTAAGGTTTCAACACAAAACCTTCAGAGTACAAGAGCTTTACACACTGTGCTACTTTCAGCTCGACCAGCTGCTAAAGAGACAGACCAAGATGAGAAAGACAGACAAGTTCTGAAGAACTTAAACATCTGTAGCACATAAAAGCAGTTCACTAGATGTTGGTGTCTCCAAACTGCTAAGATACTCTAAGAACATGGTAGCATATTTATACGTATAAATGTTTCAATGCACTAAAGCCCTGCAGAGGTAACGCAGTTTATGGAAACATTCAAAATGGCTCATTAACCTATGACTTTATAGGCCAATTTAACTCGACCAGAAGGCGGCGATGTCTTCACATTTAAGCAAAGTTGATCATGGAGGCAATGTCGTCTATAAGCTGCATTGTTCTTAATCCCCATCACCAGCTTTTGACAACTTGTTAAATTATTTCCCACAGTAACAGGCATCATTACTGGTTACAGCTCTTCTATTGAAATATAAAATGAAAGTGCACACTAATACAAGAATAAAGAAATCATAAGATAAAGAGAACACAAACGCCCATCATTAGGAAGTATCAATAAATAAATACAACCTTTATAGATTATTATTTTATTTTTTTTACATTTATTGAAGGCACATCTTACATTTAGCAAAAGGAGGAAAAAAAATGGATGACTAAAACCTGTACTATCGTTTTATTTGATTATGAAGACTGCGCAGTCAATGATAAGTCACTGGATATGACATCACTGATGTTGCTGCTGACAGTTCTGACTGTTGCTAGGTGATGACCTCACAATGGAACAACACAATGACATCACTCCACCAGCTCTGATGGACAGATGAACAGATGTGGAACATGAGATTCTGAGACAGACAAATAGAAAGACATTAAATACATTTACAATGTTTATCGTCGCATGTCTTATAACAGATTCTTTATATAAATAATTTCTCACCTTCACTTTTGTCTTCAGTTTGGCTTTGAGATTAGATGCATTCTGATGAAAAAGCTGTTATCATAATTCACAATCTTATAATCTGAATTAATTTCATTATATTCACTGTACATCATGCAATTGTGAATTTCACTAAGTTTTACTCACCACATCCACAGAGCCGCTATAATGAGAAACTGAGGTACAAACACCAGCAGAATGACTGTATAATGGCTGAACGCTGTGCTGTCCACTGGATATTCACAACACAAAGAAGTGAATCATGACCATCAGAGAAACAATCATTTCAAACTAAAGCACATGTATCATGAGAGAAGTGTCACCTTCTACAGCACAGGAATACTCTTGAAGATCTTCATTGCTGACTGAGTCCAGGTACAGCTTGTTGGCTTTAGTGAATCCATCCGTTACCAGCCGTCCGTTCTTGAACCAGAAGTAAGTATGATTGTTGTTCAGAGTACATTTAGTTGAACAGCTTAATATCACTCCCTGTTCCTCTGATATAATGTTTGGGCTGCTTATCACTGTCATTTCTGAAAAACAGAGTTAAAGTACTTCAAGTTGGGCCCAACTGTAACGATCACCAGCTGGAGTGCCCTCGAGAGCCACCAGAGGGCGCTCCACAATAGACTATGATCACTTCCTCACAAACTACATTTCCCATACTCACTGCCTGGACTCATCATCACTGATCTCATTCACCTGTACCTCATTGTCACTGATTGTATTCACCTGTGTCTTGTCATCCTGCTAGTCTCAGTCTATTTATACCACATTCATTCACTCATCCCCAGTGTCTTGTTGTACTGTGTGTCTGCATTTCTAAACGTTTTACCGTGTTTGTTTTCTGTTTTTGACTTTGGATTGTTCTTGGATTTTGATTATTGCTGCCTGCCCTGACCTCTGCCTGTTTCTTGGATTCTCTCTGTGTATTCTCCATTGCCCTGTCTGCTGATTCTTGACCCTGCCTGTACGACTATTCTTGAATAAAGCTGCATTTGGATCTTCACCTTCAAGTCTCGGAGCAGTTCATAACACCAACATTGATTTGGACTGACATGGAAAACAAAAACTTTCTAAAATTCTTGATGGCAGTAAATTTTCTGTGAATCTTCTCATTACAATGTTATCAAATCCATCATGATCAGTTACCAGTGACATTAAGCATGACTCCAGGTGATCCAGAGTATTTTCCTTCTGCTGTGTCAGTGATGATCCTGAATTTATATTCTCCAGAGTCGTTCATCTTGAGCTCTTTGATTCTCAGTGTGTTTCCCTCATACTCCACACGACCAGCAAACTGAAGCTCCTCACGCAGATCACTGAAGTCACCAGGCTGAACGTAATGCCAGAATGTTTTATTTACAGTATAACCAGAGGGATGTGAGTATGTGCTGGAAATATCTACTGTTGAGCCCATCAAAGCACAGACTCTTCTAGAGGAGTAAGACACATCCCAGCAGCCACTCTTAGAAATACCTGAAAGAGTCACAGATTAACATGTAAAACTCACACTTACTTTAAAACATGTTTAAATATACACATGGATGAACAAACAGTACCGCATTGTGTGTATTATTTGACACTCACACACAGAAGAGGAGCGATGTTTTAAGTTTATATCAAGAGCACAGGAATATCTGCCAGCCTCTGTGCTGCTGGGTGACACAAGTATGTTGTTAGACCATGTATATCTTAAATACGTTCCATCCTTCATCCAGTAATATAACCCAGCTCTAGAGGTGCAGGAAGAATCACAGGTCAGTTTTATACTCTGATCTCTCCGGTCTGTAGGATTCATTTTCACCTGCAGGACTGAATTAAAGTACAAAAATAAGAAATACTTCATCACATGACAAAAGAAAGCAGCTGAAGTGACCAGAATCTAGACTCAGTTTCACCTGTGACTGTTAGATTGATGGCGACTGAGCTGAGATGTTTAGCTCCATCCTTCATGATGAACATGAGCTGATATTCTCCAGAGTCTCTCTCTCTCAGGTCTGATATTGTGAGTTTTGAACGGTCTTTTAAGACCTCCTGCTTCACCCGTCCTGAGTAGTCCGAGTCTAAAGTCAAATCTTCAGGTTCATCATTATTTCTCCAGTTTGAACTTTGTTTCTGGCTGACCCAGAACACAGTTTTGATGTTGATGTTGGAGAAATAACACGTCAGTGTCTCCTGAAACTCCTTCAAAGCACAAATATTCTCTTGACTACAGGACACAGAGAAGCGGTCCAATGTTACAAACCCTGAACAAGAAAACATTTCATTACTGAGATGAAGTTTACATACAGACAGAGGAGAGATCCTCAATTGTTACAATCCAGATTCACCAATCTGCTGCTCACACACACACACACACACCACCATGATAATCAATTTAGGTCAATTTTAAATATTATCAAAAGTCTTTTTAAAATACACTGACACCGCACAGTGAGGAAATTTAAACTATAGCAACATTTAGACTCACTGGACATTAACCCTCATGTGGTGTTTGGAGTCAATATGACTCCAATGGACTTTTCTTTAGTTTATAAACATGGTTTCCTTCATCTCGGTTGCATAAAATGTTGTCACCTTTTCTACATGATCTATATATACACACAGTCACAATATCTGGGCTTGATTCAGTTGTTCTAAAGGTGTGTCCAAACAAAAGAAAAAGAAAAACAGTCACTCACTCTTTGAAAATGGATGGGAAAAGTGAAAAATATATATTTTTTTCATTTGTCCCCCCTCAAAAAAATAAATAATAATAATTAAATCCAGCATCAATCTGAAAATGTCCACACATAAACGGAGGCCTGGTATCACTCCCATTGTATCCCACATTGAGTCCATTTAACATGATTATTCCCTCAGTATTCATATCTGCTTATTGCTGGGGTTTTTTCTGGTTTTATTTAGCTACTTTAAAAAAATTATTATTCTAAAGTTAAAGTTTTATACATTTGGATTATTGAAATAAATAATATGTGATTACAATCAAGTCTTGTCTTTTAGTGGCAACCTATGTGGCATTATTGCAAATATATTTTACATTATTGCAAATATATTTTACATTATTGCAAATTTGTGTGGCATTTGTGCAATAACAAGACACTTCAAAAGACCTGATATACTGATTTAATGTATTTTATAATGTTTAAATATATATATATTCACAAAATATCCATCACAAAACGTAAACGAAAAAAAAAAAGATTTGTATCATTACAATGGATTTTTTTTTTTATTCACACTGTAAAAAGTGTTCAGGTCACTGACTTAAAAAATTGAGTCAACCCGTTGCCTTAAAATTATTAAGTACATAAACAAAAAAAAACGTAATGAAAAGTGTGAACGTGACAATTCCACTTTACTTAAAATTATTAAGTAAATAAACTTACGAAAAATTAAGGCAACGGGTTTCCTCGATTTTTTAAAGTTAGGTCAACTGATCACTTTTTACAATATCGACCCCAATTGTATCGACCCCAAACACCACAAGTGTAAACAGGAAACGAGGAGAACAGGGTTAAGTTAAAACAATCACTTTTGGAACATGTGAAAGATAATTAGAGCCACATTTACATTAAAACCTGACAGATGAGAATAGGACAGTAATTGTCAAACCTGTATTGTGCAGCAGCAGCAGGATCAGAGGTAAGAGTCTGGAGTTCATGTTCTTCACTTTCTGTACATTCAGATTCAATGAAACACACAGAGCTGCTCGTCCTGAGAGAGAAAAAAGACACACTCATTGAGTTTGACTGAGACACTTGAAGGGTCTTTACAGTCAGAATCATGAATCATGTAACACACTTCAGAAAATCATGCTTAAAATGACGTTTAATGTAATGTTTAAATGCAACGAACGATTAGATTTACCTACATTACATGTTGCTGTTGTTCTCTGAGTTGTAGTTTCTACTGTCTGTTTTAGAAGGTGTGTGGACTTTCTGATGATCTCATTTCCTTCCCTTTTCTTACTAACACACAAATTAAAAAAGAAAGGAGATGCTTATATTTATAAATATTTGTTTTGTCTATTTAGATTTCTATTTAATGTTTATTTAAAATAGGAAATGACAAAACTCAACTAAAACTGACTTCCTGAGTTGAGTTTCACTGGTCATTTTCTGAAATCAGTCCAACTCAACTCAGGAAGTCAGCTTTAGTTGAGTTTTACCCCCTATTTTTAATAAACTTTAAATACAAATCTAAATAAACAAAAAAAAAAGTTTATAAATAGCCTATTTTAAAACAGTATAAATTAAAGGCAAATATTATTTGATAATTTTTCCTGAATTAACTCTGTGAATCATAAGGTTAATAAAACACACACATTTATATATTAATTTCAATCATCAGGTGCCGTTTTTTCTTTCTTTTTTTTATATAGGCACAGGATTATGGGAAATCAATATAATGTATACAAATATACATTTATGATGCATTCAATAACAAACAGCATGAATCTTAGAAAGACAGAAAGTTACATGATGATGTTTGTCTCTGGCCTACGGTAAATATAAAAAGCTAAACATTGATAAGAATGTCTTATATTTTAGCAGAACAAGATCTCAAAGGTCAACAGAGAATAAAATGTAAGACTGGGGTTTAAAACAAGACATTTAATGACCAAGAGCTTTTACACACTGAACCACATTCTGCTATACTTGCTGCCAAAGAGACAGAACAAGATGTGAGTGTCAGACAAGTTTATATATACTGTATATATTAGATTTTGCTGTCTCCAAACTGTAATACTGTCAGGATTAACATAAGGGCCAGGTGGGGCTGAAGTCCGAGGGCCCAAACTTCCATTACAAAGAGGCTTCCATAGTTTACACTTAATAATATAATAATTATTATCTTGTTGTCACAGTTAAACTTTGGATTCTGCCCAAGAACTATGGAAACTTTCCATAAACATTTCACTGGAAGTAATTCTGATTGGCTGGCGCCGTGGCATTAAAAGAACCAATCAGATAGAGGTGTATTTCTAATAAACTTTTATTGAAATAAAATATTAATGCAATAATTAACACCCTGCAATATAATGCAATATGAATATCTAATACATTTGCAGTATATTCAAAATATTTATTATTATTTGTTTCTGTCCTTTGTGTATGCATTGATTAATTAATTTATTCCAATTTAAAGGCCGTAACCCCAGAAAAACATTAATGGGTAAAAGTGTGGGCCGGGCCCCAGTCCAGCCCTGATGATGAAAAAAGTAGTTTACTTAAAAATGGAGATTCACTGTTTCAGCAATGTATCAACTGACAATGTATCATTGTAAAATTCAATGCGGTGCAAAATAACATTGGATCTCAATGACTTTCAATGAATGGATGGGGGGGAAACATTTTCTAGAGTATTTTGATTTGCATGTCAATGAAGTCATGGAGGTTTAAAAATACTCAAGGGTGAGTAATTAATTTTCATTTTGGGGTGAACTATTCCTTAAAGCTGGATTTATACACTCTTATTGTTGAGCAATAGTAGCTCATAATTTCTAGAATGAAACTCTTGAAAACATTCCACTACACTCCTCCCTTAGTGTCGACTCATTGGTAATTAGTAACCCATAGATTTTAAGGTTGTTAAATCACATTTTATATTTAGGCATATGACAAACCAGTGCATTTGACTAGCACGTATCTTACTAAGTTAAGACTCAAGATAATCCAGGAAACATTATGAGGACCAGCATTCGTCTTTTTTTACATTACATACCAATTATTTTAACGTTATTTAATTTGCCCCAATTTGTTTTTTATTTGCTGCTTGTAAATAATCTGGTTGCATAATGTAAATGTATAATATAGTTCGAAAAAATGACAGACAACACGCTCATTACAGTTTTGCAACTGGAATATGTTTAGCAATTTAATATCCTTGCCTTTTTCTTTTTATAGAAATAAAAATCACAACCCAAAAACAACTTGCAGACTTGTGTCATAATATGCACTACTATTCAAAAGTTTGGCTCCAGAGAGATTTTATATATTTTTTTAAATATTACATGTACCGGTACAAAGGCTGCATTCATTTGAAGAAAAATACAGTCGAAACCGTAATGGTCTCTTTTCAAGATTTTTTTTTTTTTTTTTTTTTTTTATGAACAAATGTTGAGGAACAGCATTTTTTTTAAATAAAAATCTTTTGAGATCTGAGATAATTCATTAATTTCATCTAAAGACACATACACGCAACTTAAGCAGGCAATGTTTAAAAGTATTGGATAAAAACATGCATTATAAAGATTAAAATTCAGGAGAAACACATCTATGTACACCTACTGAGTCACTCATTACAAAACCCTCCATATTTTTGGATAATTTAAGTAAAATTCTGTTTTAAACTACACGGATATACAGAACATCCATGGACATTTGGCAAGAGCAAAAGCTTGTTCACAATATGGCTGTAGTTGAGTTAGTAGTTTTTTTAATGGTGGGTCTAAACCAGGGGTTCTCAAAGTTTTGATAGGTGAGGGCCAATTTAGGAATCCAACATTGAACTGAGGGCCGCCAAAGTGGCGGGGGAGAAAACGAAGAAAAAAAAACTGAAAAGAAAATCCCATTTGAAATTATTTTAATGACCAGGTTGCATCTCTACAGTTCCCTTTCGTTGTCACTCCGAGTTCCGTCGGATGACGACGAATGGGGGTTTCGCTTAGAAGCCAATCAACTTCAAATACTTCAAAACGAGCCAATGGCAAAGAAATGCCATGGGTCTGCGGAATTTGCATAGCGTAACTCCGCCTCACCTCGTGAGTATATAAGGAGAACGCTGGCAGCAAACCGGCATGTTTTCGCTTTGGAGCCAAGTTAATCCTTCGTTCCACAAGCCATTCCTGAAATTGTCAGTTCTTCAAACGAGCAAGATTCTCTGGTGTTGGTGTGACGGCGATCTTCGGCGAGCGCGCACTTCCTGCTTATCTGTCTGTGGTTCGACAGCGAGTGTGTTTCTCCCCGAGCGCTTCAACACAATCAGGTTTCTTTTTCTCACAAAAGAGCTTGCACGTGGCACGTCTTTTTAAAGATGCCTCGCCCGTGCACTTCTGGTTGCGGTAGGCTGGTTGACGACTCTGATGGGCACGGGTGCTGCATAGTGTGTTTGGGCATTGATCACGCTAGAGCAGCACTCGTGGATGACTCATGTTCTCTCTGTGGGAACATGACCATCGCAGCATTACGGTCAAGACTCGGTGATCTCGCAAGAGTGAGGGTCCCCTCATCCACACCCCGATCTACTGACTCTAGAAATAGAGCTAGTACTTCGGCTGGTGGCCAGGGTGATCTGAGGGTGACGGTTTGGAACCAAGCGCCGACTATCAGTCCGTGCCCAGCCGCACCCTCTCCAATGCTGCAACCCGTGAGTGTTCAGGGGATTCCGGCGAGATCATCTTCGGGTGTCCCGCGGGTTTCCTTTGGCGCTCCAGAGGAAGATGCCATGTCTATTGCAGCATCACAAGGTGGGTCTGAGTCTGCTGGAAGTGAAGACTCATCACAGCTGCCGCCTTCGGGTGTGACTACAGTTGTGCCAGAGTCAGATCCAGAGATGACGGCCATGCTGTCTCGAGCCGCCGCGAGCATCGGGTTAGAGTGGAACCCTCCGCCCTGCCCCGAGCGCTCGCGGCTGGATGATTGGTATTTGGGTCAGGCTGCGGATCCCCGTCCCCGTCAGGCCCCGATACCTTTCTTCCCGGACGTGCATGATGAAATCTCGAAGTCCTGGAAGACTCCCATGTCTTCCCGCGACCGCTCGATGATTTCATCCGCCTTTCCTCCCCTCGATGAGGCCGCTGCCCGTGGGTACACTGGGCTTCCCCCGGTCGAACGCTCTGTTGCGATGCAACTGTGTCCTCAGAGCGCTTCGTCTCGTGGTGAGCCAAAGCACCCATCCAAAGCCTGTAGGTACTCGTCTACGTTAGTGGCGAAGTCCTACAGAGCTGCGGGACAGGCAGCCACCTCTTTGCATGCCATGGCCATTCTGCAGGTCTACCAGGCCCAGATGCTCAGGGACATGCACGAGGGTAGGACAGACCCAGGGCTCTTCAATGAGCTGCGCGCCGCCACCGACCTTGCTCTCCGAGCGACGAAGGTGACCGCACGCTCCCTGGGTTTGGTGATGTCCACAGCCGTGGTCCAGGAGAGACATCTATGGCTCAATCTTGCCGATATGAAGGATGCCGAGCGGTCCCGGCTGCTCGACACCCCCATATCGCAAGATGGCCTTTTCGGCGGTGCAGTCGAGGACTTTGCCCAACAGTTCTCGACTGCGCAGAAACAGACTGAGGCTATCAAGCATATTCTGCCCCGACGGCCCGCTGCTGCCTCCACCCAGCCGACCGGGCAGAGTACTCAGTCTGTTCGCCGCCGAGGGCGCCCTCCTGCGACTCCCGCCCCTCCCGCCCGGCCCAAGCAGCAGCCTCCACCCGGGCCCGGTCGCGGAGGAAGTCGCAAGAAGGCGCCCCAGCCCTCTCCAGCCCCGCCCCCCGCTAAACGCCGGGCCAAGCGGCGCTCCTGAGACGGGCTGCTCAGGGATGACGTGTTTTTCTCAGGAGGTGGTTGCAGGACCACTCCTTCCCCCGGTGGAGGGCCGGGGGAGAATCTTTTGTTCTCCACTCCCCGCTGCTCACCCACGGGTGGGCAGTACCCTAAGGTGGTTAAAGAAAGAAATAACACGTTCATCCCTGAGCACACAGAGTTCTTGGACGA